CCCTGGGGTGCAACATGGAAGATGTGGCGCGACGCAACAAAAACGTCTCTTGGCCGGACGAGCAAACGATCGAGCTGATGGGCGGAGCGGCATCGCAGGTGCCACCGCGCGGCAGGCTGCGATTGCTCGTGTGTACTTCTGAAGGTACACAACGGGACTGATCGGCGCATGGTCGCAAAATCACGCCCGCTGACCGTGCGGCGCGGGGACGCATGAAGACCCAACACATCCCACTCCTCGTCCCCCTGAAGCCAACCGACTTCCGCGTTGAAGCCGCCGCCGACGATCATCAACCGATTCGCGCCCCGGACACAGGACTCGACGAATCGCGGCCCATCATGAAATCGGTCCCTGGCAGCGACGGCAGCAGGATTCGCTTCCGAAGCTGGGGCGTAGCGCGCCAGCAGAGATACGCCTCTGCGCCGCCCTTACCGGGGAATCACAACACCCACCATACGAATGCCCGTTTTCCCCGTCCTACCCCGAACAATAACCCTCGACCTCGAATCTTTCATAGGCTCAAACAATGCGTTTCCTAAGACAACACAAGCCTTCCCCCGAAAGATACACGTGCAATTATTATCATCATACCTACCGGTGTGATCTCGCACTGCATGATTTCCGACCGTGCGCCTGCTGGTGGTCCTGCTGGTGGTCGTGCTGGTGGTCCTCCTGGTGGTTGTGCTGGTGGTTGTGCTGGTGGTTGTGCTGGTGGTCGTGCTGGCGGTTGTGCTGGTGGTCGTGCTTGTGGAGGTGCTGGTGGCCGTGCTGGTGGTCGTGCTGGTGGTTGTGATGGTCGTCGTGCTGGTGGATGTACTGGTGGTCGTGCTGGTGGTTGGTGGTGGTTGTGCTGGTGGTTGTGATGGTGGTCGTGCTGCTGGTTGTGTTGGTTGTCGTGCTGGTGGTTGGTGGTGCTGGCTGGTCGTGCTGGTGGTCGTGCTAGTGGCCCTGCTGGTGGTCCTGCTGGTGGTCGTCCTGGTGGTCCTGCTGGTGGTTGTGCTGGTGGTTGTGCTGGTGGTTGTGCTGGTGGTCGTGCTGGTGGTTGTGCTGGTGGTCGTGCTTGCGGAGGTGCTGGTGGCGCTCTCCCCCCGCTCCCCTCCGTGCTCCCCCCGCCCTCCCCGGACCCCCCTCCCCGTATTCCGACCGTGCGCCCTCCCCCCGCTCCTCCCCTCCGTGCCCCCCCCGCCCTCCCCGGACCCCCCTCCCCTTATTCAGACCGTGCGCCCTCCCCCCGCTCCTCCCCTCCGTGCTCCCCCCGCCCTGCCCGGGACCCCCCTCCCCTTATTCCGACCGTGCGCCCTCCCCCGCGGCCCCCCGCTCCGTGTTCCCTCCGCCCTGCCCGGACCCCCCTCCCCTTATTCCAACCGTGCGCTCTCCCCCCGCTCTTCCCTGCGCGCCCCTCCTCTTGCCCCCGTGCCCCCCGTCTTCCCGGAGGCCCCCTGCCCTTATTCTGACCGTGCGCCCTCCCCCCGCCCCTCCCCTGCGCCCCTCGCTCGTTGCCCCGGTGCTCCCCCCATTCTTCCTGGGCCTCCGCGCCTTCTCCCCCGTGCTTCCCCCGCCCTCCCTGGGCTCCCCTCCCCTTATTCCGACCGTGCGCCCCCTCCCCCCGCTCCTCTCCTGCGCCCCCTCCCCCCTTGCCTCCGTGCTTCCTTGCTCGCCCCCACCCTCTCCGGGCTCCCGCGCCTTCCCCCTCGTGCTCCACCCGCCTTCCCCGGGCTTCCCTCCCCTTATTCCGATCGTGCGCCCTCTCCCGGCCCCCCTCCCCTGGCCCACCCTCTCCGAGCTTCCGCGCATGTTCCCTCGTGCACCCCCCGCCTTCCCCGGGCCCCCCTCGCCTTATTCCGACCGTGCGCCCTCCCCCCGCTCCTCCCTTGCGCCCATCTTCGATCCCGCGTGCTCCCCCAACTCTTCGCGGGCCTTGGCGCCATTGCCATCTGCCGTCTGTCTCGCATCCGCGATTGTATGATCCTTGGCACGCGTGCCCCTTGTCTCTTCCTCCTATGCCATCGGTCCATTACGTGTGACTTTCACATCCGGAAAAATCCAAAATCCATTTCCTTCAGTTGGGCAGTGAGAGAGAGGACCACACCAACCTTGATGGCAAGGCTCTCGTTGCCTCGCTCCGTATCTAACTTCTGTGCATTCCAAGTGCCACCCCTGAAAAACTTTGCGCATTTCGGCGACGGCCATCCCGCCGAAACACGGACATGTTATGCATGGCGCAGCACCGCTTGGCACAGGAAGACCTATTCTTCGTGATCCGCTTCTGCGCCCGGATCCTGAGAGCACGTTTCTGACAGCGCGTTGTACCAGAAGGAAACGTAGGGCCGTCTACAAACACCGTCGCTCAGCACCAGCCATATTCGGCACCAACACCGACGCGCGTTGGCCAAACGAGTCGACTGTCTGCCCCTCGGGATCCGTGACTGATGCCGCAGACCCCGCCGGAGAAGCCCCCACAAAGGAAAAAGCCGAAACCCTAACCGCCTCCGCAGCGTGATGATCCAGGGGAAGGTGTGCACACCCGCCCCCCAACATTCCAGACGGCACAGGGGATGGCCGACCCGAGCACAACCAGGAGAACCCAGCCACAGCTGCCAACGACCATACCCCTCCCGAGGCTCCAAAGGGGGCACCCCTAATGCGGTGGTTTGGGCTAGCCTCATCCATTGCCCACCCCACAAAACGAGATGAGAAACACAAAAACTAAGACATACAGAAGATGAGTCCGTCGAATACCGGCCACGAGAAGGTCTGTGAACCTGCTCGTCTCCTCCTCTTCCTCTCCCCCTCATGATCACCACCACGCGCATCACTATCATCACCATCGTCGCCATCATCATCACCACCATCATCATCACCATCATCGTAAGTAGCATCATCAGCCTCACCATCATCTTCCTCATCGTCATCAGCATCATCATCAGCATTCTAATCATCACAATTAGCATCACCAGCATCGCCATAATAATACGAATGAAAGTCATCATCTCCATCACCACCACCACCATCACCGCCACCATTACCATCGTCAGCAACATCAGCAACATCATCACCAGCACCATCATCACAATCTTCATCACCATCAACATCATCGCACTTATCATCACCACAATCGTAATCACAATCAGCATCACTATCATCAGCGGCATCATCCTCACAATGACCATCACCATCACCATCACCACCACCACCGCCACAATCATCATCATCAGCAGCATCATCATCGTCATCAGCATCATCATCATCATCGTCAGCATCATCATCATCATCAGCAGCATCATCATCATCATCACCACCACCACCACCATCATCATCATCATCATCATCTTCATCATCATCATCATCATCATCACTATCATTATCATTATCACCATCACCACCACAACCACCATCATTCGGCGGCAAGCCGGGGGGAAGTGAGAAGAGGTGGGCCTTCTCAGAAGGCTCGGAAGTCCTTGTGTCTTCTGAGAGGTTTTCGAAGCCTTCCCTGAAGACGCAGACAACTTCTCAGAAGGCTGGAGGGCTTCCGAGAAGTCCCGCCGCCTTGTCAGAAGGCCGCCTCGCCTCTTCCTTCTCACTTACCCTCCTCGCTCGCCGCCGACTCATCCGTCTGGCGTGGCCTCTGGCTCTGGCCTCTAGCTTTGTCTCTGCTGATGGCTCTGCTGCGTTTGCTGACGCCAGCGCCCGAGGGGGTCTCACGCCAGCTCAGCAGCGCACTGCTGCGCTCGGGACTCAGACCTGCGGCTGTCACGACACCGCTGCACGCCGGCACGCCGAGCGGCAGGGGCACGAAACCATGTAAATAGTATGGTTTTCGGATACCCTCCTCGCTCAGGCGGGGCCTCCCTGGAGGTGTGGGAGGGGCACGAAACCATGTAAATAGTCGTCTCCAGGTCGCTCAGGCTACCGCGGCCAACTCGCGGCCGCCTCAGCGACCACTCAGTCAGGAGTGAGTCCCGCCACCGCTCTCGCAGCTGCCGCAGCGGCAGCCGATCGACCACCCGACTCGAGCCACGACCTCCCCCCCCGAGGCCCCCAGCTCACCCGGCGGGCCCTCGACCCCGGCGCGGACCGCCTCAGCCGCCGCTGCCCTGCGCTCCCCTCGCTGAGCCTGCCTGGCCTGCCCAGGTCACTGATTCCACCCCAGAGCAGCCCTCCTCCTCCTCCTCCTCCTCCTCCTCCTCCTCCTCCTCCCTCCTCCTCCTCCTCCTCCTCCTTCTCCTCCTCCTCCTCCTCTTCCTCCCACCGTCCACAGGCACCCTGCTGGGCCGCCGCGTCCCTGGGCGAGCCTCGTCTGGCGCCCCTCTGCCTCAGCGCCGTGGTGGCGGGGCTTGGCGCCCTCCGCCGCGCGCGCTCCTGCCAGGCTGCGCGCCGCGACCTGTCCAGGCTGCGCTCCACCGCTCGGCGTCTCGGCCATCCCTGAGATCCGACGTGGCAAAAAATGCAACATCGCAGACAACCACGCCCGGAGCCCCGGACCCCACCAGTCTACGTCATTTTTCAAGCCGGATCGATATGTGAGGGTCTGAGGGGCCCGAAATGGAGCGAACACTCCCGTTGTGAAAAATTGCAACGCCAGGATCTCAGGGACGCCGTCGGCGCTGCCAACGGCGATTCCCGCCAGTCGGTGCCGCTGGGCCTGAGTTCCGCGCCGCGCGCAGGAACGCCCCCGCCAGCTCCCTCGCCACCAGGGCAGGCCAACGGCGCGCGCCCGGGGCTGCTCTGACGGGCTCTGTCGGCATCGTGCCGCCCCCTTTCGTTCCATCTCCTCCCCCCTCTCCTTGTCATGCGCATTGTCATCGTTATGTTCCTCCTCCCTTTCCTCCTCTTCGTAATTCTTCCTCCTCCTCCTGGTCCTCCTCCTCCTCCTGGTCCTCCTCCTCCTCCTCCTCCTCCTCCTCCTACTCGTGTTCCATCTCTTCCTCCTCTCCTGTTCCTCCTCCCCACATCGTCTCCCTCCTCCCACGTGTTGCTGGCTGGAGGGCTGGAGCCAGCGCCTCGGCGGACTGGAGGGCGCACGCCCGGAACCGGGGCGCGGCGTAAGAGCCTGCGGCGGGTGCCACTGGAGGATCAGGGCAAGGAGTGGCGAGACGGAGAAGAGAACACAGTAGGAGCTGGACCACAAGAAAACTTCGACAAGAAACCCAACCCTGAAGCCCCAGGGCGTCCACTGATCGTTGGTATGGCAACGGCACGCATTTCATAGCACGGGAAGGCACGCAGGGAGGCCAGGGCACCCGGGAGGCAAGCAGGGTGTTTCTTGGCATGGGCCTCCACTGCGTGAATGAGCAGGAGGAGGAAACGTGAGATGAAGACGAAGAACTTAATGGTCTGTTGCTCGATGCGCAGAGCAGCACATTTCGATGAACGCCTTCAGACGTGCATTGCTATATGGAACACATTTTTGGCTACAACATCACACGGCGGGCGACTTTCCCGCCGCAGGGAACCGCATGCGGGCAACCTCATCACTGCCCGTACTACCCGGCCTACCCGGCCACCCGGTAGTATGCCAAATGAGCTGTTCAAGACTGCTGGACAACACGCGCCAGCAGGGTGCACGACCGTCCAAGGCAGTATGCTTACTGCCACGTGAAAGTATGGCTGGAAACGTGTGGGTCCGGTTCGAAGCAGAAGATCTGCGGAGTTTTCCATGGCGCGTGCTGGCACGGACCATCACTGACAACGAACATCCCATATCATGCTCCCAGGTGTTTGCAAGCGTTTTGTTTGTTGTTGTTGCTCTGGGCTCGGGCAGGACGCCTTCGCGCCGGGCGTGGCACTTCTCACCTGATCGTCTTGTCCAGGGCGCTCAAAAAAACTCTGCCAGCAACGAGCTGGTCGGTCCCTGTCTCCTTGCACCACGCTGTCACTATCCTTCACCACCAAGCTGAAACACGAAATACACAGTGTCATTGTCCTTGGCGATATCTGTGATATACATATCATCGCGCAATGTTTCGCCCTTGTGGAGCAAGTGGATGCCACCGAACTGCGGGTTCACGCCTACCTTCCGCAGCTCGGCAATGATGTAGCCCTTGGCTAGAGCCACTGTCGTCGTGTGGACGACCACCACCTGGGCTTTCGTTGTACTTCCAGGGGGACCCTCCACTTTAATATTGATCGGCCTCAAACGAGCAAGCCTGTCTGGCTCCTCGTCCGGGCCGAAAGCATCCCGCACTTCCTGCGTAGGCTGCATAGCTGGCGTGTGCCCGATCGATGCAGAGGCCGATTTAAGGCCCCTAGGTACTTGAGCCAAAATGGCTACGGACCCAGGTGTTTGCAAGCGTGGGCCTCGAACAATGGCTTATAGCACCGAGGATGCGCTAGGTAACCAAAGCAAGAACCCCTCAGTGCAAGCACTGGTTGGGGAATTCTCATTCACGGAATGCGACACGCTGACATAGGATGGACTAACATGCTGACCTAAAGGTTGGAAACACCTTGACATAGCAACGCTCCTTCCTCACATCGATCTGTCCACCCATATTCAGCCCAAGCACTTCCACCACTCCTACATATTTCTGTGGCGTCCGAAACGTCGTAGTCCTTGGGCGTCGATTAACAAACTGTTTGAAACCGAGCCCAAAGTTGAGGTTGGTGTGCGAATTTGATGTTTCCCTCCACGGTGTGCTCCGCCATGTCATTGATTGTCATGGCGTTCTGGTAGATTGTGAAATCGAACTCGTAGGCTTTGCTGATGCCCAAGGGCAATCAAAAATCGAGTTTGGCGGCGTCGCTGATGTTTTGGGAAAGGGTAACATAAAACTCGGCGGCTTCGCTGATGTTCTGGGAGAATGGGAGATCGAACTTGGCAGCAACGCTGACGTTCTGGAAAAATGGGATGTTGAACTTGGCGGCTTCTGGCTGGGCATTGCAAACGTCCGGGAAGCAGGCGTAGAGCTGGGCGTCGAAGACGTCCGCAGAGTAGGCGTTGAGCTGGGCGTCGCAGCCGACCAAAGACCAAAGAGTAGGCCTTGGGCTGGGCTTCGCCGACGTCCCAAAAATAGGCGCAGGGCTGGGCGTCGCGGGTGCCCGAGGAGTACGCGAATGGATAGTCGCAGGCGACGGGAGGTATGAAGGCTGCAACGAGCAGCAACACGACGCCGCTGGGCGTTGATTCCGGGAACGAGGGTGCAGCCGTCGTCTTTGATATGGGGTGCGTCGTGCGCAGCACGACGGGCAACACCAGCGTGATGTTGCGGGGGCTCGCACGCTGCGAGCTACCACTGTGATATGGAATGATCGCGGATTAAAGCTTTTCCTGCGCGCAGTGCGGATGGCGTAGCTCTGAGGCCAAGGGCCCTACATTTTTGAGAGGAACGCTTGAGGGCAAAGCGGGTGAGAGAGAGAGAGAGGAAGAGCAGGAGCACAGCAGGACAGCAGAGAGGATGGCCAGGAGCGAACTCGAATTACACTCATCAAATCGACCATCAAGCTCAACCGCATTACAACCACCAGCGCCACCATCAACAACACTGCCATAAAACACAATTCGGTGACAGCTGTTGCTCTTCATTCTGCCTCCCGCTACGCATCTGTACGTGGTTCTGTCTCTACCCACATTTCTAATCCGCCTGTGCGAGCACGTCGATGCGTAAGTTTGCTCGTGCCTTTTCCGTATTCCATCTAGGTACACCTCAGCACATACACACATCTGCATGTGCCTCCGTATTTGTGTTTACATGACATCCCCAAAGCTACACGCACCTTTACTTCTACATGGACACGTTAGCCAGCGTGGACCCCGAACAGCGAGTTATTGCACTGTAGGGTGAAAGCTGTGCGTTGCCAGTTGTGCGGTGAGGGCAATGAGGTGTGAGCTATGTGGTGAAGGCTATGTAGTGTAAGATATGTGATGCAAGCTGTGTTGTGTAAGCTGTGGTGTAGTTTGAACTGTGCGGTGCAAGCTACGTGGTGTAATATATGCGGCGTGCGCTCCATGATGCAAGATGTGTTGTGAGAACTTTGCGGTGCGAGCTATGTGGTGTCAGTTATGTTGTGTACGTAAGTTGTGTTGTGTAAGCTATGTCGTGTGAGCTATGCGGTGCGATGTGTAAGCTATGTGGTGCAGGGTACCTTGTGCAAGCTGTGTGGTGTCAGCTAGGAAGCCAAGCCTGCAACGTGCAAATCTGTTTCCGTGGGCGCTCGGAATCCGAACGAGGCGCCCACGAGCAGGCCTTTGTGGGCCCCGGAAACGGCAGGGCCGTTTTTTCACCGTTTTCCAAAAAAGGTCCCTCGAGAATGGAAACGGCAAAAAAACGCCGACGGGAAACGGCAACAAAAACGGCTCCAGGATTGGAGCCGGAGCCGGAACCCGTCAAGAAACGGCGACGGAACCGGAAAAAAAAAACGGCGTCGGAACTGGTGACAAAAACGGCAAAACGGAACCGGTAAAAAAACGGCCCTGCCCAGATGGTCTGGTACCGAAAATTTTCGGTAGCGATTTCGACGCACCCCGAATTTCGGTAGCGACCGGATCTTCGTTTGAGGGCGTTGAAATATAGCGGATCTCAGAACGCTCTGATACCGGTATGGGGCGCTACACTTCGGTATTTTTCGGTAGCGACCGATCTCTGCGGAGCGCTACCGGAAATTTTCGGTAGCGGACCATCAGGGTGCCGTTGCCAGGGCCCACTCAGGAGCGGGCACCGCCGTTTCCAGGGCCCACTGAGGTCCTCCTCCTTCTCCTCGCTCCCCCTTCGCCTCCCCCCGCTTCTGAAAGTCGCGCGGAGCGAGGCCTCCGCCGAGGAGAAGCCCGCTTCTGAAGTCGCGCGCAGCAGGCACCGGGGCCAGCGTGTCCACACCCCGGGCAGCCCACCCCGCGCTCCGTTGGCGCCCACGAGGCGCCCGCGGGCGGGCACGGGCGCCCGCGTGGCGAGAGCCCGGGGGCACCGTCCAGGTGCAGTCGGTCCTGCTCCTGCTCCTGCTCCTGCTCCTCTCCTCCCCCTCCTCCTCCTCCTCCCCCCCCTCCTCCCCTCTCCTCCCCCTCCTCCCCTCCTCCCTCCTCCTCCTCCTCCCCTCCCCCTCCCTCCTCCTCCCCCTCCTCCTCCTCCTCCTCCTCCTCCCCCACCTCCAGAGCACGGGGCACCGTCCAGGTACAGTTGGGGCGTTGACCTAAGGAGCCCCAAATAAGGAACGAGGCCCCTCTCTTCCACAAGTTAAGCTTCGGCGTTCCATCAGAAACCAGAGGCATACCAAAGGCGAACTGTAGAACAATTACGGAACACTGAGCCCCCAGCGCCCCGACTGTAGTGGAGGCCTGGAAATTGGCACCAACACCAGCACATGGGGTTGCCTCCACATGGGGAAGATGATCCTGGACTTCGGCGTTGGTGGTGATATTTCGGTCGCCTAGGAAGCCACAATATTACCACCATCACCGAGATCGGGAGCGTCTTCCCTCGGTGGTGGAGGCACACCGCCGATCTTGGTGTTGGTGTCAACCTCTGGGCCCGCAAAAGTACTCTGACCCGCCGAGCATTCCTCGCCCGAGAGTGCCGGCCCGCTCGCAGCCTGGCTGTGCAGCCCACGGGTCCGCAGACTGGGGTGGCACCACGAACATGAGCAGCAACGCCTGCCAGGGCCCCGTCCCGCTGATCGGTCCCAACTCCGCGTGTCCTCCTCCTCCTCCTCCTCCTCCTCCTCCTCCTCCTCCTCCTCCTCCTCCTCCCTCTTCCTCCTCTCCTCCTCTTTCTCTTTCTCATCCTCCTCCTCTTCCTTTTCCTCCTCCTCCTCTTCTTCTTCCTCCTCCTCCACACTTACACAATATGAATACAACTCTCCTGTCTCCTCTGATGACGTCCGGAAGATGTCCAGCCCACCTCCGCGTGCTGGTTTTTACTCACAGGGTTTCCAGGAGTTGGGTTTTCCCTTGGTTTTTTTACGACATGTTGCTCCCGCTGAAGCGCTGGCCTCGTTTTCGGGCTTCCGCTCGTTCCGAATCGTGCTTCCGCTGCAGCGCTGGCCTCATTTCTGCGCTTCCGCTCGTTCCGAGTCGCGGCGGTGGCAGAGGCGGGGCGGAGGGGAAAGGGGCGAGGGGGGGGGCACTGTAACGCACGCGGTGGATTGCCCAGGAAGGGAGGCTGAGTTCCGCGGGCCGCTAGGCGCGGACCCAGCCCAGACGGAGTTCTGACGTCAACCCGAGCGACGTCGGCCGAACGGGGCCCTGTCGCGGCAACGGTTTGGAACGAGGCGGTCCTGGGATGCGGCGGCCACCTCGAGATCGAGTGGACGCATGAATGGTCACTTTCCCAAATGGCCTCGGCTATCTCTCCTCGGGATCAACCATGGCGGGTGCTGAGAACGCTCACGTCATGACATAACCAGCAAGGCGAGCGCCCTTGTCCTATGACCAGACCCGAGCACGGGACGCGCCGAAGACAACGGCCCACCCACCTGCCACCGCCACCACCACCACCACCACCGCACGCATACACACACACACGAACACACACACACAAACAAACACACGAGCACACACAAACACACACACACACGTGCACACATAAACACACACAAACACACGTACACAGAAACACGCACACACATACACACACAGACACACACACACACACACACAAACACACGCAAACGAACACACATGCACTTTTTGGCGCCGCGGCTAAGCGCGCGGCGGCGCGGCGGAGTCCGAGTCGGGCAGAGGGGCGGGGTGCGAGCTGGGCCAGCTCGCCCTGCGAAAGGGATGCAGGCTCCACCCGTAGGGGACCACGCAGCATCGCTCGTGAAGGGGCGGTCGCGAGGGGGACGCGACGAAGGGGGAACATGGAACCGGCCAAGGAGGAGGAGGACGAGGAGGAGGAGGCGCGGCGTCGAGATGGGGGTTCGTCGTCATCACCTACTCCTGCCTGTACTGTCTACGTCGTAAACTGCGGCTCCACTCCCCCATCGGAGTGTCGGCCGCGAGAGCCGCCGCTTTCGCGCAGTCACGCGAGTCAGCTGCACTCGGGCACCAAAGACCACGCTGTCTCCTCGCCTGGTGAAGGAGACGGTGGAAATGGAAAAGGATCACAAGCTGTCGGAGCCTCACAAGTGAGGGATCAACGATGGTCAACCGTCGGGGCAAGAAAGGGTCCACCCGCGAGCCCGACACGGACCCACCAAGGGTAAGGAACCCAGGGCATCGCACAGAGTGCGAGAGGCAGTCGCGGCATTCACAGCCGAGAAGATATCTGAAGTCAGGGTTACGCATGTGCGTGTCCGTGGCCCATCCTCCCGTCCAGGTCTTGATGGCGGCCATTCTCCAGGACGGAGGGGATTTCATCAGGACTCCCACCACCCCCGCCCAGTCCACCCCCGCACAGACATCCTCGCCGACCTGGAACCAGCGCTGGAGCCGAGTGACAATGAGGGGGATCAGCGAGGAGACCGACGGGTAGAGAATAGGAGAGATGCCAGCCTGGAGACAACGCTGAGTCTAGAGGCGGGGGGAGGGTCTTCCTTCCGCCAGGGCTTCGCGCAAGGTCGACTGCCGAGTGCGGAGGAGGGCGAGGCCAGCACGGGCGGACACAGCCAGGGGGCCGAGCTCCGCAGAGGCTTCCGCCGCCACCCTCAGGTTCCAGGCGATGGGCGGCTCGATCCCGAAGTTCGGCCACGGCCTGGTGCCATCTCCCGTGCCTAACCACTGCACCATCGGAAGGGCTCCTCCGCCTCCGCCCGCAGCAGCGGGCACAGCGAGCGCCAGACCGAGGTGGTCTTGAGCGCTGTGCGCATCCTCGCGGCGAGGGCCACAGCTCGCAGCGGCGGAAGCGGGGGGCCCCCGAGAGGTGGGAGGTCGAGACAACATCTCAGAGAGAGCCAAGCGCCTGGGGCTCTGAAAGGGCGGGTCAGAGTGTGTCGCTCGTCAGCCACCTCTCCTTCGGGAGTTCGTACAATTGACTCTTGTACTGCAAGACGCTGACAGCACGCTCACGATACAGAACACAACAGGCGGCCGTGCCAGCACCTGTGCGGGAAATGGCACTCGTGCGTTCTTTGTACTTCTGAACTACAGGCGCCCCCTGAGCATGTGCGGTTGTCGACGGGCCAATGATGCATCCGAGATCCTCAAGCTCGGGGACGACTCGAAATTGTTCCCACTTGCTCGACGTATCTCTCAGGAGGAGCTGAGCATGTCGCTGGACCTCAGGGGAGAAAGGAGCCCACAGCGGCACGCAAAAGCATTTGCTTGGCCTAAGTAGCAGGCTCGCAATCTTGCCAGCGACGTCAAAGACGCGGCACAAGTTCTTGCGACCAGGGGCTCCCCACACAACCGCACCGCAGTCGTCCGCGCACCATCTGGCGAGCCCCTTGTCGCAAGCTTCAAAAGACGCGTCGAGGTCACGGACGAAAGGGTCCACTCCCAGCGCGAACATGCTGCCCAGGGAGGGGGAGGAGGAGGAGGAGGAGGAGGAGGAGGAGGAGGAGGAGGAGGAGGAGGAGGAGGAGGAGATGCGACGAAGGGGAAAGTGGAAACGGCCAAGGAGTGAACAATACGACAGAGGAGCTCGAGGCGAACGCATGAACTAGTGGCAGACAGGAGTCGGCAAGCCAAGCGCAGTGACGCACGGCTGCCAGAGTCGTGGGAGACCCGCCGGAGGAGCAGACAGACGCACGCATGCACAAGCACACGCCAAGAGCGCATCCAACGTCGGACGGGCTCTGCCTGGATGAAAAATCGTCGCGATCGAGAGGTGTCACACTTGACGGCCTCCCGTGCCCCATCGGACAGTCGCCACCCAGAATTCTGGGCTAGCACGGTGGCGGGGCTTGCCGAAGGCAGGTGGATATCAGACTCCTCCCTCCGTCCTACTGTTCCCGTATGACAAGCCCCCTGCTCCTGCTCATTCTCCTCCTGATACGCCTCCGTCTGCTTCTCCTTTTCCTGCTCCTCCTCCTGCTCTGCTGCGGGTTCTCCTCCTCCTCCTCCTCCTCCTCCTCCTCCTCCTCCTCACCCTTCCCATATCCTCCACCTCCTCAACCTTCTCCTCCTCCCCCTCCTCACCCGCTGCTCCTCCCCTCGGCTGGTCCTTTGGCGAGCCACGGTGCCACCTCGCGGGTGGTCCGGAAAAGCGCGCGCCCTACGCGCCCGGACCCCCGGCCGACCTGGGCCAACGGGTTCGGTTCCGGCACGCTCTGCGGGCGGCGGCGGCCGCGAGAGACGGGGAAGGCATACCTCGCGCGGGACCGCCTCGCCCTCCTCGTCGTCCTCCTCGTCCTCGCCACCCTCGCCCTCGATCTCCTCGTCCTTCACGCCCTCGCCCGCCTCGCCTGCCTCGTCGTCGCCCCCTCCGTCCTAGCCTCCCTCGTCCCCGTCATCCTCGACCTCGCCCTCCGCTCCGCTCCCGAACAAGTCCAGCTCGCCTCGCCACTCCTCGATCGACTGCGCGCAGGAATGGCCCTGGGCGGCAAGAGTGACCTCTGGTGCGCGGCTTTCGGGGACCGCGACGGGCCCAAAATCCCTGCGCGCGGGCCAGTGCTGGGGTAAAACAGGGCTAGGATCAGAATAAATCGCTCCAGAGCGTTCCGGAGCGCTCTCAGAGCGTTCCGGAACGCTCTGGAGCGGCCGCGGCGCCCAATACATGCTCCAAACCCGCCGATTCTCAGAGATTTCGAGTTATCCCGATCCGATTTTGTCCCGATCTTCGCGTCGTTTCACGGGGCCACCCCCGCGAGCCCCACACCAGGAGGCCACTCTGGCGAGAGGTCCGTCGTGTGCGTGGCCGAGATCCGCCCAACGTGCCGGCAGCGTGGGCCTCCTCGCCACCCGTGGCTGCGAGGCTGCGAAGTCAGCCGCTGCACGGATGGCGGACGGGCGGGCCGTTGCTCGAGGCGGCTCTCGCCTCGGCGCCGCGCGCTCGCGTCTCAAATCTCGGGGAGCGCTGCGCGGACGCAGGGCGGGCCGCATGCAGAACACCGATCTCGCCACGGCGCAGCGCGCGTTCGACTTCACCGCACCCCCCGGCGGCGGAGTGTCCGAGTCAGGATGGCCAGCAAGAAGGAGAACATGAAGCTGTACTTTGCACACGGGAGGCTGTGCGGGAGGCCACACGGGAGCCCAGGACGCCATGCGCGGATCCGGAGGCGCTCACACGCGCCTCGAAGAGGTTCGAACACTCTTCTAGGCAAGCTGGTTGAGGGAAAGTGGAACATCAATACAGATGGTGATCGGGTCGCTTTGAACATGTGGTTATTGCTTGAGGCTCCCCGTTTCTTTGATGGCCAGAAGCTTGAAAACGGTGTAACGACCACACGAATGGAGAGATATCAAAAATATGCACTCGCTTTATATTTCATCAGACTGGCATGACCCAGAATCGACAACGGCTACACGGATGGAGAGCGGATCATCTTCATTCTTCGGCGTTCGCTGGGCACGTACTTTAGCGCTATGCTTCCGAATCGCAGCATCGCTGACGGCTACAAGGATTGGGGGGGGAAAGGTTTCATTTTCAAACGTGGAGGCCCGCATTAACAGAAGGCACACGGGGCGCTCGTCTTTGAAGAGGGCGCGCCCCCAAGTACACATGAATACTTGCTGGAGTTCCTGCAGAGGGGACTTGAAAAGGGGAGGTCTTTCGGCCGACCTGGACAATCGCGTCCTTCGGGCGAACTGGACAATCACACCCGTCGGGTCAACACTCCGGTCCAATTTGGGCGGCCTGGACAATCCTGCCTTTGGGGGGTGGCCTCGACAAGCCCACCATGTCGTCCACCCCGAGCCGCGGGCTGACTCCTTTTCTGGCGCTCAGCACCGCCACGTGCGGCATCCACTGGAAGCTGCGAAGGCGAGCCACGACGTCACCGTCGTTGCCGCCGCCGTGGGCCGTCGCCGTGGCATTCACCGTTGTCGCCGTCGCCCTGGCCGTGGCCGTGGCCGTCGCCGTGGCCTTCACCGTTGTCGCCGTGGCCGTGGCCGTGGCCGTGGCCGTCGCCTTCGCCGCCGTCGCGGTCGCCGTGGCCGCCGTGGCCTTCGCCGTTGCCGTTGCCATGGCCGTGGTTGCCGCAGGCGCTGCCGCCCTGCGTGCCGACGGCCAGGCGGCGGCAGGGCCGTGCACCCGCGGCCGCCCGCGGAGGAGGTGTCTCGCCGCGGCGGCCGGCCGCGTGCAGGCGCCCCGCGGTCACGCGAACGTCTCCTCTCGGGAACGTCTCCTCCTGCTCCTCCTCCTCCTCCTCATCTTCCTCCTCCTCCTCCTCCTGCTCCTGCTCCTCCTCCTCCTCCTCCTCCTCCTCCTCCTGCTCCTGCTCCTCCTCCTCCTCCTCCCTCCTCCTCCCTCCTCCTCCTCCCTCCAGCTCCGCCTCCTCCTCCTCCTCCGCCCTCCTCCTCCCTCCGCCCTCCTCCTCCTCCTCCTCCTCCTGCTCCTCCTCCTCCGCCTCCTCATCCTCCTCCTCCAGTTCCTTCTCGTCCTCCATTCCTTCTCCTGATAAATAACTTTTCCCTGTCGCACCCCGAGGCCAGTTTTTAGGGTGGGCCGGGCGTTTCGCTTGAGGCTTCCTCACCATGTATGATTCTGAAGTTTAAAGAGCGATAGAAGCTTCACAGATGGAGGCCGGGTCGTTTTCAACATGTGGTTCTCGCCTGAGCGACGCGCACGTTCGATGTCAAAGTTCACAAGAGTTTGGCGAATTGAAGGCAGGTCGTTTTCAAAATGTGGCTCTCGCCTGAGCGACGCGCACTTTCGTTTTCAATATTTGCAAAGAACTTCACGGTTTGAGGGCGGGTCGTTTTCAGAATGTGGTTCTCGCCATACCGCCGCGCACATTCGCTTTCAACATGTGCAAGACCTTCACGGATTGAGGGCGGCTCCTTTTTACCATGTGGCTCTCGCCTGAGCGCCGCGCATATTCGTGTTCAAAATATGCAAGAGCTTCACGGATTGAGGGCGGGTCGTTTTCAAAATGTGGCTCTCGCCTGAGCGACGCGCACTTTCGCGTTCAACATTTGCAAAGAGCTTCACGAATTGAGGGCGGGTCGTTTTCAACATGTGGCCCTCGCCTGAGCGACGCGCACTTTCGCGTTCGAAATGTGCAAAGAGCTTCAATGATTGAGGGCGGCTCCTTTTTAACATGTGGCTCTCGCCTGAGCGCCGCGCATGTTCGTGTTCAAAACTTGTAAGAACAAGAGCTTCACGGATTGAGGGCGGGTCATTTTCAACATGTGGCTCTCGCCTGAGCGCCGCGCACGTTCGTTTCGAAATTTGCAAAAGTTTCAAGGCTTGAGGGCGGGTCGTTTTCAAAATGTAGCTCTCGCCTTGGCGCCACGCGCATTCGTTTCAAAACTTGCAAGAGCTTCACGGATTGAGGGCGGCTCCTTTTTAACATGTGGCTCTCGCCTGAGCGCCGCGCACATTCGTTTTCAAAATGTGCAAGAGTTCCACGGACTCCCATCATCAACGTACCAGAAATGATGTTTTGGAAGGATTCATGGTGATGCGAGTAAACAAGTTCCGTTGATTCTCTGTGTGAAAGTCATGGGTATGGCGTCCTGGAACGATTCATGGTCGTCAAGACGCAACAGTCAGGTTGATACGTGGCGTTGAAATCCAGAGAAAAAATGTTGTGGCATGCTTCAGAACCTTCAAACGGTTGTCTTCCAACGAGGCAGTCCCCTCAATGGAAATGAGCCGTTGTAGGGGCCAATGAAGAGCGAGCTCGGAGGGAAGGTTAATCCTGCGGGAAGTGAGTGGGCGCTGCGGGGACAGCAGCCGGAGGGCTGCCGGAAGGAGAGCCTTCTTCAGCATGACCTCGCCATGACCTCGGGAGTGACAGGACGATTGTAGAAGAAGAGAAAACGCCACAAACATAAACTTTGGCGCTCCGCGCGGATTTCTCGGATCTGCGCTGGACACACCTCCCTGGCGCGCGGAGCGCGCCAGGGGCGGTCTTGAAGCGCCGCTGGGGGGGCCCAGCGCGGATCCGAGAAATCTGCGCGGAGCGCCAATAGTTTATGTTCGTGGCGTTTTCTCTTCTCCGAGATTGGCGCCACGACACCTAGCGAAAGGACATGATGCAACAAGAGGCGCCAGTAGCCCGCCAGCACCGCGCCAAGCAGCACGAACGCGCCCGCGAGCCGATGCCACCTCCGCCCCGCCTCCCGCATGCCGCCGCGGGCCGTGCCTGCGGGGGGCGGGCGCCAGGATGGATGGATTTAGGGGGCCACATGCGAACTCTACCCCTCAGAAATCGTGGGTGGTAGGGGTAGGGTTCGCATGTGGCCCCCTTTGGATGGAGCCCTGGGCGGCGCCCATCCAAAATGGCTCGAGCTAAAAAGGCTTCGGAACGCTGGGGCACAATCATGGGTCATCTGCTCGTGGGCTCCGCGAGCACTTTGCAGTGATTCTGTCCCAACCATGCTGTGGTGTTGGGTCCTCGTTGTGAAGAAACGGTGCCCGCGTCTCCTCTTCCTCCTCCTGCTCCCGCCCCTCCCTCCTCCCGTCATCTCCCTCACTTCGGCACAGTCCTCACAAGTTCGGTTGCCCCATAGGGAGCTCCGCCGAAGGCCCCAGTGGCATGGTTCGCATGCCGCCCCCCTCCACTTTGGCACACCCCACACATGTTTGATTTCGTGGCCCCACACGGAGCTCAACCGAAGGCCCCAATGGCATGGTTCGCATGCCGCCCCCCCTCCATTTTTGGCACACCCCTTTACACTTTTCGTGGCCCCATTTTCAAGCTCCACCGAAGGCCCCATTGAAATGGTTCGCATGCATGTCCCCCACCCAGTACGGCGATTCGTGGCACCATAGGGAGCTCCACCGAAGGCCCCAGTGGCGGTGTTCGCATGCGTTTGCCCCCAGCCAGTGCAACGCTTCGTGGCCCCATGGGGAGCTCCACCGAAGGCCCCAATTGTAGTGTCCACATTCGTTTCCCCCGCCCAGTGCAACGTTTCGTGGCCCCATGAGAGCTTCACCGAAGGCCCCAGTGGCGGCGAACACATGCGATTCCCCCACCGAATACAACGTCTCGTGGCCCCGTAGGGAGCTCCACCGAAGGTCCCAATTGTGGTGTCAACTCTTCTGTTCTGTCTACCCGGAGTGTTCGCAGGATAGTTGGGAAAATGTCGAAACGCGGAGGAGCCGCGACAGGCTCGACACCGGATCGAAAGACAGGCCGCCAGAGGAAGGACATCAAACAATTGGAAAATGCAAATCTGGAGGATGGGTGTCTCAGCGAAGCCCCACCATGGTTCAAGGAGTGGGCCAAGATCCAGGCGAAACAATTCGACTCTCTGAAGGAAGAGGTGACCAGCGTAAAGGACATAATTGACCAGGCGAGGATCGAGGCTCAGGATGCGAGGAGGACAGCAGAGCCTCTGCTGCAGAGGAGGTTCAGGACAAGATGGAGGAAATGGAGATACAGGTGGAGGGAATCCAGAATGACCTTGATTAGTTATACCTAACCAAAACCCTAATCCAGAACGTCATCGAAAACAAACTTTAGGAGCACCTTAACATGGAAATGAAGAATATGGCCAGGGAGTCGGTCAAAGAAGTTCTGGGAGATCGCAAACAAGCCGAACCCGACGACGACGAAGATGGCGATAGGGAGCATCAGGTGATCTTTGGTGGGCTCGGCCAAGAGCAGGAGGAGCAGACCATCATAGATCGCGAACACCATGTGCGTCTCAGACAAGGTCGTCAAGGTATTCACTTTTACAGACCCGTCCCGCAATGGAGTTGCACAGTTCTAATCAGTAGCACGCAGACATGCGCTTCTAAAGCGCATGCGTACTGCTGGTCAAAAGTGGAATGAGCAAGGCAAGTTGTGGTTGCAAGAGTAATACCACCTTCAAACAGAGAATTAAAACACTTGGGCAAATTACGCACAACATGATTAAGAAGGGATTCGACAAGACAGCCGTGCGGATCGATTGGGACAAGAGGGAAGTGAAGCTACGTGAAAAGAAGATCGCGGACGTGGATACCGATGGCAACATGCAGGTTTACCACGAAGGTGCAGATACCCCAAAAGACGTCAAAACACACATGGCGAACTGGTGGAAAGCGCGCGACAGCGACCCCTGACGCTGCTGGAAACCAGCGAAGGATCCAGACAATAGTACCAGTACCAGTACGGCACCAACAAGGGGGGAGGACGTGGTATTTACAGAAATGTCGATAGCGACTACCCTGTTGCTGCTTTGCGGCGCCATCCGATTACTATCCCAACCACGGCTCCACCAAGGCTACCATCAGGTGATAAGGGCGACGCCTACGCGGATGAGAACATGTTGTATGTCTTCACTAAGAATGCGAGGTCTCTGAAAGCAGAGGACAGGATAGAGGAGTTGATTCAGGAATTGGCGGGTGTTCAGTGGGACGTAGTCTTGATTTGTGAAACATAGAGGGCGGAGCAATCAGAGCTGTGGGAAAACCGCAAGGGACATCTATTCGTAGGAGCTGGATGGGGGAAATTTCACGAGGAGTAGCAATAATATTTCGAAGCGCTTGGAAACATACCATCAATAATGCAATCTACGTGACTGAACGGGTTCTTGCTGTGGACGCGGACTTGCTGGGCGAAAGATTTCGTTCCATAGCTGTGTACATGCCCCATGGTGGATACAGCGACGCAAAAGCCCAGGAAGTGTATTCGGGAGCGGCCAAGAAGGGGGTGCCCAAGAGGGGGGGTGCAAATCATGACCGGCGGCACGTGCGCGGCCCAGCGGGGGGGCCAGGGACGTAATGAAACAAGAAGAGGTGCCCTGAAATCTGGGGAAATATCATGGCCCACGCCATGATATCCACCCCCCCCTAGTCATCACCCCCCTCTTTGCCGCCCCCAATGTATGCCACGCTCCTCCAGCTGAAGACTGAGGCGGCCAGGAGAGGCAGAACAGTCGTGATCGGCGGAGACTTCGAAGCGGAAGCGAGCGTGCCAGACGAGGACGAGGACACCCGGGGAACCCTTGGGCGCTTCGGACTCCACAGGGTCGATGCGCGAGGTCGTCTTTTGAAGAACTGGGCAATCATGGAGGGACTTGTGAACGCAGATGCATGGTTCGATGAGCCCCTCGAGAAGCGAATCACGTCTTGGGGACGGACAAGACACAGAAGCCACTCGCCTATATCTTGTTAGACCGAAAGCTGACAAGAAAGTTGGTCGACTCATGTCCGAGAAAAGTACACCCCGCGACATGCTTAAGAAATCATGGGTTAAGAAATTCATAGTCT